GATTCAGGAAGAGACACAGAGGTGCAGAAGTCTGCATCAACCTTAACTTCAGTGAATCCAGTGACCTGCTGGTGGAATGTGAGGGACAATATGTCAGTGCTATCAAATTGACAACCAGGTATCTGTGTGTGCAACAAGCATCATCCACACCCTCAGAGTGAACATGTTCTACTGCTGGAGACACCATCAGCCAGGAGTGGGCTTGTTTGTGTCCAGAGAAAACAGGCATTTTGATTTTTCTGAATAAAAACTGTTCAGTGAAAAGGTCTTCAGTGTGTAGCAGTGAGCATTAGACACTGACGTGTCACTGGTTTTTTGCAACTGTTCTTTTGACCTGGAAATTATTTGTTTGTTTTTATGTAAGAAAACTGCTTGGAATAGAAAAATACCAAAGTTAAAAATTAAAAGTCACAATTTGTACTGTAATGTGTAACGTAATTTTAATCTTGTTAGAATTAATAGTAATTACAAAATTGGTACCAAAAAAAGAACCGTCCAGGAATAGGGCTGAGTACCGAACCGAGGTTCTTTTATGGCACCGACCGAACTGCACCGGTCGGTGTATGTATTGAAACATCACTCTTCTTTCGGTGTCAAGTTTCGGTATTGGCTGTAACGTGTCACGTGGTTTTAGCATGCAGGCTGGTAAAACACCAGACATATGACAAACAGACTACAGCCAAATTACATCCAGAGCTGTATAGAGCTGCCGTACCTAATCTATGTATAATTATGTCTATGGTGCTGGTGACGCCCACAGACGGGTTCACGTGTGCAGCAAGAAAGTTGCTCCGTGTTTTTCTGCGAGGAGAGAAGAGTTCATTAGCCTCCCCCTCCTCCTCTCAGCATTAAAGTCAGCCTGTGAGTAGAGCCTGAACGTCCTGATTCATTATCTCCACGACCGGACTCTTCATCAAGGAATTCCGAGGACGTCTCTGTGAGTTTCAGCTGGTGAGTTTACGTTTGTTAGCGTAACTGCAGCTTAACACGTACATCACGGTGAAATAAACTATGATCCATGTAACGCTAACTTTAAGATATTAGTGTTTAAATTTATTTTATCTACGTAGCTAGCTAAACTCAGAAGCTAACTAAAGATTGACAGTAATATAAATCTTAGCTTGTAAAAATGTGCTCATCCTTAGTCAGCTGGTTAAACAGTTCACTAATGTTCACTGTTTATGTTCATGTTCTCCTCACAGGAGGT